GGACACTGGTAGCATAGTGGTTGTCGCATCAGACTCGTGATTGATAGACCCAAGTTCAAATCCTACCTTAGGCTGAACATCAAAGGGTCAGCACTAGCACTTGCAAGCAAACAAAAAAGTCAGAAGAGACAACAGTGACATTCAATGTCGCCTGGCGCAGACAAATATTTAAAAATATATATATATACTCTAAAGCAATTCAACAATCTCTTTTTGGTTTATTCATAATAATTACCTTATTTGCATTACTAATCACTTTTCACCTATTTTATTAGGATTATCACATAATGATACACAATGGATAACACACAGACCTAAATCTTCTGGTTCATTGGGGGTAATCCATAGACATGTTTTTATATTTAGATAAGATATTTACTAGTAATTATATTAGCCCATTTCTGATATCACAAAAAATCAGATTTAAATTGAATGTGTGCCCTGGAATTAGACTGAAAACAGATGTATTATAAATTTTGATAGATATCAGACAAACATTAGTTGCCAAGCTTTTTCTTTGAAAGGCTAATTTTGAATTCAATTTTAATGTGTCTTTAAGACTCAGCACAGTTCTAAGATTTCTTGAATTAATTTTAATGTGTCTTTAAGACTCAGCACAGTTCTAAGATTTCTTGAATTAATTTTAATGTGTCTTTAAGACTCAGCACATTTCTAAGCTTTCTTGAATTCAATTTTAATGTGTCTTTAAGACTCAGCACAGTTCTAAGATTTCTTGAATTAATTTTAATGTGTCTTTAAGACTCAGCACAGTTCTAAGCTTTCTTGAATTCAATTTTAATGTGTCTTTAAGACTCAGCACAGTTCTAAGCTTTCTTGAATTCAATTTAATGTGTCTTTATGACTCAGCACAGTTCTAAGATTTCTTGAATTAATTTTAATGTGTCTTCATGACTCAGCACAGTTCTAAGCTTTCTTGAATTCAATTTTAACAAAAATTTGTTTGGTTAAAATACCATTTTCGACTTCTTGAAAATACGACTCCAAAACACGACTAATTCACGGATTGCTTCTATACTTCATCTCAGTCAACAGACTGCTTGTTTAAAGTTATGATGGCGAATACTGAAATCTCTCAACACTTTATACCATTGTTCGATTCAATGAAAACAACCATCAATCCATACAACTCTGTTCATGACAGTGTTAGAAGAAAAACTGTATTTGACTTCTTGAATGATTTGATTGGGCATGCCAAGGAGCTGGATTCACCAATCAGCATTCCTGTTACAACAGCACCAATTTCAAATTTAAACCAATAGATTTTGTTATCTTATATCATGTCAAAGCAAAAACTAACGACTTCCCCATTAAAACATGTATTTGTGTTCTATTTACCATGGAAACGCACACAAGCATGCTATTGTGTTTGACCTCGTCCATAGGGAATAGTTTTATTGTTGGGAATTCTACATAATGGTAAGACGGCCAAATAAACAGATCTTGGCTGGCAAAGATGACATTCTAGTATCTCAAGCAAAGTTTTTATTTTGCTAAACCAAGATGCATATGATATATAAATTTCAAGAATATATAAAGGATTTGAAGTAAATTTACATTGATTACAATAACTGTTCTCAAGGACACACTCAGCCTCAGTTGTTTCTAACATCAAAGGTGGAGTTTAAAACTACTGCGATGTTACATTGCCCAGTAGTGTTAAATGTGGATATTGAAAATTTAACTCCAAGCTTAGAACATGCTCCTGTGTAAGCACATGTGCTTCTAATAGAGCAAATTCAGCATTTAACAAGTCATTGAAAATGACACAGTCCCCGTTAAATTGTTGAAAGTTCTCTTTGTGCTCGTCATATTAAAGCAGAGGGGTTGTCGCGAGCGTGTCCTTGAAACTTGAGTTCCAAGTGGCGTATAATACAGATTGTTTATTTACCGTACTCGACCATGTTAGCGCCCATGACCGGGCAAGCGCCCATCCCCCACTTTTGCACAATTTTTATATTTGGGGTCACATTCGGCAAAGCGCCCACCCCTTCAAAATTCAACTAATTTAAAACATGGTCTTGCGTAACGAATCTTGGTAATCGTTTTTATATGATACAGCATGGATATCGATCACTGTGAACATGTTGTGAATGCGTAGAATACGATAACCGTGTGTAAACTACGCTTCGACAATGACCTGTTAATACGAGTAAAATGCGATAAATATTTCATGCCATATTCAGTTTACTGGCTAGTTACCAGTTTTTTGGAAAAACCATGTCGTTTATTTGCTGAAATCAATTCCAACAGATCATACTTCGACATCGATAATTCACTTCCGCATTGCGTTACCAGAAAGTCTTGGGGAATTTCAAAAGAATTACAGCATTCTGATTGGTTAATAACCAACTTGACCCATTAGGTCAAAGGACGCTGCTGTAGGTCAAATCTGCAAATGCATCATGGTGGAAATAATATGACAATTTTGACTGAGACTGTGTTCCAACAGACTCAAATGTTTTTAATTCAGTAAATTATGGTGGTATGTAATTAATATTGTAATAAAATGTGCATATTTTTTGTGATCATTTCTGTTTCTTCATTGTGAAAATCAATGACGACGCAACTAATTTATTAATTTGATTTTCCCTCAAAGACGTAATTTGTCACTTGATGAATAAAAATTTTTATTTGCACTCTTTTTCGAGGGGGGTGCTCGGGTAAGCGCCCACCCCTAAAAAATCGTGATTTTCTGAGTTGAGGCCCCTGGGCGCTAACGCGGTCAAGTACGGTACATCAAAACACGTGTTCCATGTAGTAGTAATATGGCCAAAAATAAAAACAGCCGTTATTCGGCCATCTTTGATCTGATTATGAAACACACTGATATATATGATGTATGTGCCAAATACGAATGAAAATGGTACATAAATTGTGGAAATATAGTACTAAGGCCAAAAAGTCAGATGGCTGTCAATCGGCCATCCTTGACCAGATTTTGAAACAAAATTGTCATCCTAACATGTATAAAGTACATGTATGTGCCAAATTTGAATAAAAACTGACAGAGCACGTCCAAGATACCCCATAAAAAAACAAAACAAGATGCCTGCCAGTCAACCATCTTTGATCCAATTGCAAAATAAATCGTCATGGACATGTATCCTAACATGTATAATCTATGTACCAAGTTTGAATGGCAACTGACAAAGCATGTCCAAAATACAACATTTTCAAAAAACAAGATGGCTGCCAGTCAACCATTTTGAATCGAATCGCTAAACCACTGCATGTGCATATGTCCCACATAAGGTACTAGACACATGCAAAGAATGAACGGAATCGGTCCACAGGATTCTAAAATATGACTCTGGAAAGACTGTAGCACTGACGGACAACCGGACGGACAGACTCAGGAACTCACGGACGGTCGGGGACATGTATCCTAAATGTACTAAATTTGAATGAAAACTGACAAAGCATGTCCAAAATACGACATTTTCAAAAAACAAGATGGCTGCCAGTCGGCCATTTTGAATCGAATCGCTAAACCACTGCATGTGCATATGTCCCACATAAAGTACTAGGCACATGCAAAGAATGAACGGAATCGGTACAAGGGATTCTGAGATATGACTCTGGACGGACAGACGCACGGACAGAGACCAAATTATAAGTCCCCGTTTTCAGACTTCGCCCGAACGGGGACTAATAAAAAAACCCTCCTGTGTGCTGAAGGTATTGGAGGCATGAAGTACAATAAGGAATACCATATTTACTACACATATTCAATGAAGCTATACTAAAAGAAATAACAAAATCAGAAAATTCATTTGAGGAAGTAATTTTTTATATCTATATTAGCCAATGGTATTAATTTATGTTTCTACATGGAAGTCTGCATGCAAGCATTTCTACTAGACAAAATAATGTACTAATGAAAAAATATTGGGATACTTTTTTCCTCCCTAGAAATTAGTTTAGATTAAAATCGAACTGCACGTCTGGTATACTTGGCCAGACACGTCAAATGGTATACTTGGCCAGACACGTCAAATGGTATACTTGGCCAGACACGTCAAATGGTATACTTGGCCAGACACGTCAAATGGTATACTTGGCCAGACACGTCAAATGGTATACTTGGCCAGACACGTCAAATGGTATACTTGGCCAGACACGTCAAATGGTATACTTGGCCAGACACGTCAAATGGTATACTTGGCCAGACACGTCAAATGGTATACTTGGCCAGACACGTCAAATGGTATACTTGGCCAGACACGTCAAATGGTATACTTGGCCAGACACGTCAAATGGTATACTTGGCCAGACAATGGTAATTAGCCCTAAATTAAACAGTATACTTTTTGTGTTTTTAAAATCATATTGAAACAAAATAACCTAGATGTGTCCAAGAGCTATCATATATAACCAGCTGTGATAACAACATTTTATTTGTCCCATTTAGACAATGAAAACAATACAATGTAGTACAAGTACGTAAAATCTGTATTAGATGCCGCATCCCTAATAGAAGTCACACCCATTCTTTTTGAAAAATTGAGAATCTAAAACTCACCATGCTCTAATAGAAGCCGCATCCCCTCTGTTGCATTGTCCCATTTTAATAGAAGCCGCGGCTTCTAATACAGATTTTACATACTAAAAAAATATTTGTTGTTGATTCCCAATTTTTTAAAGATAAACTGGGAGTGGGGAAGATATTTAACACCTTTAACATCCATTGACATGTAATGTCAAAGCATTGTTCATCTTTTACATCCCATTCTTTAGTAAAAAGATGTTCAATGTTTTGTGACTTGACAGTCACATTTTCACTAAAGACATATGGATGTTTTTTTTTAGATTTCAGATCATTTCTAATAAACAAACATCCATCCAATATTGCAGCTTGTAATCTTACAATAAAGAGATACAGATTTATAGTTTCAATATTAGGACCAAGTAAGTCAATCAAAACAATGAATCTATCAATTTTGATAGGAATAAGCATACAATTGTATAATATATGGTAAGTTTGCAGTGTATAATGACAGTTTATTGAGGTGCTAAGTGTAGCAATTACAGTCCAAACAAAGTTGTCTTCTTATTACACAGGTGAAGAAAAGATGATTGTGCTTCTTTCTCCAACTCAGCAAGTTCCTTCACAGTTGGTGCCAGAATGTCAGCATGTCCCTTGTATAAACCACCTGAAAGAAACCACAACACAAACTTAACGCCAAAGTCAACTTTCTGCACTATTCAGAAATCTGCACAAGTTATACCATATTTTTTCTAAAATTAGCAAATTCTATTTGTTCCAAAATTATGAAAAAAATTGCATAAAAATGCATAACAAATGTGGAAAATATTGGCAATTTATGCAGTGAAAGAGTCAACATAGTTTGACAAGTACATATGAGATGTATAAAGTGTGACATGTACATATGTAATGTACATGTATAAAGTGTGACATGTACATATGGGATGTATAAAGTGTGACATGTACATATGTAATGTACATGTATAAAGTGTGACATGTACATATGTAATGTATAAAGTGTGACATGTACATATGGGATGTATAAAGTGTGACATGTACATATGTAATGTATAAAGTGTGACATGTACATATGGGATGTATAAAGTGTGACATGTACATATGGGATGTATAAAGTGTGACAAGTACATATGTAATGTATAAAGTGTGACAAGTACATATGAGATGTATAAAGTGTGACAAGTACATATGAGATGCATAAAGTGTGACATGTACATATGTGATGTATAAAGTGTAACATGTACATATGTGATGTATAAAGTGTGACATGTACATATGAGATGTATAAAGTGTGACATGTACATATGAGATGTATAAAGTGTGACATGTACATATGTAATGTATAAAGTGTGACATGTACATATGTA